CTGGGCCTGTACTCTCGATACGCGTCTGTCGTGATATGATTACCAGACGTTCGCTCGGTTATGCTTATGTCAACTTTCAGCAACCGGCTGATGGTGAGTACAGTGTTTCTTTATTTCAATATTCTTTTGACCTTAAGATACTTTAAATCTTGTCCTAAAATGATCTTTAGTTACATCATTTATCCGTGCGTGACACGTGTTTCGGATCGTATAATGCCACCATATTGAAACCTACTTCGAACAAAGTAGATAAGTTGTTAACGATTGGTTGAGTCACAGTTTATTTTTTCATTATCATCTTCCCTTTCATTTTTTAAATGATATGCGATTATGATGTACAAAGAATATTTTAACACGAGTTATATCTTTTAATCGTAGAAAGATCATGTGTAAATGTGTTTTTATATTAACAGCGTAATTTTTAAATTCTTTATGCAGTATATATTTATTTCAGTAATGTTCATGTTTAGAATTTATACAATATAATTTTAAATATGTTAAATCTCTCGAAAATAAAGTTTTATAAAAGCAACGAAATGTGTGTAACAGTTTTATAAGGGATGTTAATTCAGAGGTTTTATTATTACAGTATATTTTAATAATATGATATTTCTCTATGGTAATTAAATAATTGTGTTAAAATGTGATTTGTATGCTTTGCTTATTTCAGCTGAACGTGCACTTGATACTATGAACTTTGATATGATAAAGGGGCGGCCTATTCGTATTATGTGGTCTCAACGTGATCCTTCTCTTCGAAAATCTGGTGTTGGAAATGTATTTATAAAAAATTTAGACAAAAACATAGACAATAAAGCAATGTATGATACATTTTCTGCTTTTGGTAACATACTTAGTTGCAAAGTAGCTCAAGATGAATCTGGTGTTTCTAAAGGTTATGGTTTTGTTCATTTTGAAACTGAAGAAGCAGCAAATAAATCTATTGATAAAGTTAATGGCATGTTGCTGAATGGAAAAAAGGTAATTTCTGAAGATTTATATTCTATTAATTTTCTGTTTTTTTTTGTATTTTTATTAAATTTAATTATAATATTATATTTCACTTCTTATCATAATTCTTATTGTATATTTGTAATATATAGGTATACGTTGGTAAATTTATACCCCGTAAAGAACGTGAAAAGGAATTGGGTGAAAAAGCTAAGCTTTTTACCAATGTTTATGTAAAGAATTTTGGAGAAGATATGACAGATGACAAACTTAAAGAAATGTTTGAAAAATATGGGACCATCACCAGTCACAAAGTAATGATTAAAGATGACGGAAAATCTCGAGGTTTTGGTTTTGTAGCTTTTGAAGATCCTGACGCTGCTGAACAAGCAGTACTTGAATTAAATGGAAAAGAGGTTGCTGAAGGAAGGTGTATGTATGTTGGGCGGGCACAAAAGAAAGCAGAGCGTCAACAAGAACTTAAGAGAAAGTTTGAGCAATTAAAATTAGAACGTTTAAATCGTTATCAAGGAGTAAATCTTTATGTAAAGAACTTGGATGACAGTATAGATGATGAACGATTACGCAAAGAATTCGCACCATTTGGAACCATCACCTCAGCAAAAGTTATGATGGAAGAAGGACGTAGTAAAGGCTTTGGATTTGTCTGTTTTTCAGCTCCTGAAGAAGCTACTAAAGCTGTTACAGAGATGAATGGTCGTATAATAGTTACTAAACCATTGTATGTTGCTCTGGCCCAGCGTAAAGAAGATCGTAAAGCGCATCTTGCTTCTCAATACATGCAACGTTTGGCAAATATGCGAATGCAGCAGATGGGTCAAATTTTCCAGCCTGGCGGTGCTGGAAATTATTACATCCCCACTATTCCACAACCGCAAAGACTTTATGGACCTGCACAGATGGCCCAAATTCGTACAACTCCACGTTGGCCAGCGCAACCTAATCAAGTACGACCCAATGCACAAACTGGAAGTTCTGGTTTTGCAACTATGCAAGGTCCATTTAGAGCTGCACCACGTGCTCCTACTGCACAAGCTGGTACAATGCGAAATACTTTGCCTGCTAGACCCATTACAGGTAACAATGATTTAATTTTTATATAATTTATTTTTAAAAGTTTGAGTTTTATGAATTTCTATTTAATTAAATTCGTTATTTTAGGTCAACAAGCAGTTGGCGGTGCAAACATGCAAAATCGTTCTATGGCTGGG